GTCACTGATGACCCAGTGCATGATGACACTCCTGCAGGTGAGTTACTTGGAAAACTGGCTACTGAAGCCAAAAACCCAAGCAAATTAAGTACAGTATCAAGTACAGTAAGCAAATCAAGTACTATATGTTGTGGAGACAGACCTTCAACTGCTAAGGGAGACAGACCTTCAACTGCTAAGGAAAGCAGACCCAAAAAATCTAAAGCTATAGCAGCCCACAGGCGTGAGCTTAGATTACTTAAACAAATGGAGTTCGGATCAGTTGAAGGAGAATCTGGAAGCAGTTTAACTACTTATTATTCAGCCCAGGAAGGAAAGCAGTCAGAGAAACGTCTCCAAGCAGAATATCTTATTCCAGTAATAGATGTTAAAAAACCTAAAATTTCCAATTGTGCTCCTTCAGTTGGAGGATTTAAGACTGTAATTATACCTGAAGGATATCCCAAGGTCCACCTCACATATCAGCAGGCAGAAGAGATAGTATCCTTGATTGTTGATAGAATTGACAACCTTGAACCTGATGCTGGAATGTATCCTGGATTCGAAGATCACTATTTCACATCAGGTGCCTGTATCCTCATTTGCAAAGATGAATCCTCAAAATCGTGGGTGAACGATGCTGTTCAAAATTTCAGGTTAGAAGGTGTGGAACTCCTAACAGCTGGAGCTGAAGTACTTGTTAAAGGTATTAAGGCTGGTGCCTATTTTTCTGGAAAAAAGTTATCTCCTGAAAAACTTCTTATGCGGCTAAAAGTGCAAAATCCTATAGTTGATTTCAGTGGTTGGTCTGTCTTGTGTATCAAAGAGGAGGAGAATGGATTTTTTGGTATTTTTCGTATACCAGAAAATATATTTAAAAAGCTCGGATGGGATACCTTTTCACTTTATTATAATATTGGGAAAGTAATTGTAAGGGCATTGAAAAAGAAGAAGACTGAACTTAGAACTGAATATGAAGACAAACAGACATGTACAACAGAGCTAGAAAAGGGACCTAAAGTTGTAACTTCGCCTGAATCTGATGTTAGAAAGAAAGCTATGTTTCAGGAAACACAAGATCCTAAACCTACCACTTCCTCTGGATTAAAATTACTGGAAACTGCAAGAGAAGAGTCTATTGTGGCTCTTGGTTCTTCTGGTGAAATGCCTGTTAGGCCTCTATTGACTTCGACTCTCGAGTCAATGAGCAGATCACTGGGAGGCCATAACTAGGAAAGGAGTAAAGCTGCCTCAAATCAACATTCAAATAATTCTCGTCCATCACCTGGGGCAGCTTTTGGAACATTATGCAACATTAATTGAGAGGTGAGGGCATTGAAATTGTACTCCATGAATTTTGAATGAGCATAAACAGGGACTGGGGTTTGATGTAAAATATATGATCCTTGGAAACTCTAGTAACACCCCAGACCTGTATTTGGCTTATTTTAACAGAATCTTTTATTTTTTGGATAATACATTTTTCTGTTTTGGATGTCACCTTAGCAATGGGAACTTTTTCTAGGTGTAAACACCAAAAAGAGCTGTGGTAAGATCTAATCTACATTTATCTTAACTAAAACACTTACCTACTTTGGAGTTTACTGCCTACTGGATTATTGTAGATGGACATTATTTTTTATACTGACCTTGATTGGTGCTTATGGCCACCTTTTATGGGTCTGCGTGATCATCACTTTGCAAGGTGAGTCAGTCCTACAATCTTTGCTCCTAATGATCTCCATGGCTATTAATTACAAACCTACCTTCTTCATTGTTTGTAAAATTATTAATTCAACAGTAATATCAATTACCTCTGGGTAGCTCAGCTAAATTGTTATCTGATTTAAGGAAACTTCATAATACCAATGAAGATTAGAATTTTACTTTGGAGATTACAACTTTAGTTCTCAAGTAAAGGATCCCTGTTAACACCATTAAAGACTTCTTAATGTAAGATTGTATCTTAATGAAGATGAGAGTACAATTAATTTATATTCTAACATCATACTATTGGATTTAGGCATAATTACAATACTTTTTGTGTTTTTGCTTAATCATTATCTAATTTTGTATCCTAAGGTATAATAAAAGAGATGTAACTTACATAGACTCTTATCAGGGTGTCTACCAGACCTGAAATGCCTTGAAAAATCAGAGAATTTTTTGAACCTGGAAAAGTCAGGGAATTTTCTTTAAAAAACACTGAAAGTCAAGAAATTTTATTAGCTAGGGAATGTAAGTGTGAATTATCTGTTATGATTCGGATCGTTTTCTGACAAGCTTTTTTTTGGTAATTGGAATTTTTCCTATACATATTCTTAAAACTATTAAGAAACTGTTTCTGTGCCAAAATAGAGTCATATTTCATCTGAGTAAAAGTCAATATTACAGATGATGTTTCTAGTGTCAAAGAGATGACTTTGATGTATTTGTTTTTATGCAAAAAAGAGGCTGTTGATTTGTTATTAAATTTTGTATAAAAGTTATGTACCTATCATAAAAAATCTTTAATTTTCCTATTATACCTCTGGTATTGTGGATTACAGAATTTAAAATGTTTAATATTATACCAATTGTGTAAAAGGGATATTAATAAATATCAATTTATAAAAACTTAGTCTTTTTATTTTACCTTTCATCCTGACCAAAGAGAATAAAATTATATCTATCAACAGTAAATTATAAACCAACATATAAAGTTATTGCCTCATAATATTTTGGAAGTAGGTAGAAAAATTACATGCCATGAATCATTTCATATTTCAACTATTTTGATAACCCATATTTTTCCAAATATGACCTGGAAAAAAAGATTTCTGTAGACACCCTGTTTTTTGCCTGTTCCGAAATGAGTGACTAGTTCATTAGCAGTATGATATTTGGCATGAACTAAAGATCTAAATAATAGTAATAAATCATAAAGAAAATCATAAAATAAATTGATAATTAGTAATGTGTGTACCATTTTTTACTTTTCCAAGTATATAAAATTTTATGAAAAAAAATATATATAGAAACACATATACTACTCATAAACCATAAGAAACTGAATATACATTTTTGGTATTCTACATATTCTTATGCATATTACAACACAATTATGACGTGTGTATTTTATTTAATTTTGTTTGTTAGAATATTGAAATTAAGTGATAAAACTATGTTTATTAGATCTAAGCTTGGAATTTGAAGCAGATTGTGCTGCTGAGAAAGTACTTTTATTACATTTATCATTGACATACAAGAAACTTATATTTCCAAATAACTTATTTTTTATTTAATTTATTAATTTTTGCCTGTATGGTCCTACAAGAACCTGGGTCTCTCTTATTATTCTTCTCTATCTCGGGCAAGCATTCTCCATCTCCGGATTCCCATCCTTTTCAGGCAGGATGTCTCCACCAGCCATCTCAAGCGTGATCTTCCTCTGCCACTTCTTCCACCAGGTCAATCCTCCAGAAGGCGTTTGGGAATTGAATCTCTGGGCATATGCGCTACGTGGCCCAACTATCTGATTTGGTTACTCATCATAATTGGTCCAAATCCGGCCTTGCATAGATCTCATGCAGCTCTTTATTGGTGTGATTTCTTCACTGTTCACTGTTCATGTTCATATTCACTCACCAGATGGTAGATCCTGTGGAGAACCTTTCTCTCCCAAGCGAGAAGCTTCCTTTTTGAGGCCTTGAAGATCACCTAAGTCTCAGAACCATAGGTGATGACTGATCTTATGATTTTCTCGTACACCGTGATTTTTGTTTTATAAGAGCTATAATTCAACAATTTTCTCTTGGCAAAACTGCATCTATTCCCAGCAGCCATTCTTGCTTTCAGTTCTTCCATCATTTCATTACTTTCTGTAATTAGACCACCTAAATAGTTAAGGTTTCTACTGCTTTCGGGGTGTGATTACCTTATGAAACAGATTCCTCTGTTCCACTGGGCGGCCTTCTTGAAGTTAGCATGTAAAAGTCTTCTTCTCGTTTATTTGTAGTTCTAGTTCTTTTGCTGCTGTTTTATTTCTTGTTGTTATTACTTCATCAGCATAAGCTAGATGCTATTTCATCCTATTATAAATAGTGCCACGTCTGGTCTGCCCTTATTGCATACTCTAAAACAATATGAAATAGAGTAGGGGATAAAAAGGAAATAATAAACCTGTTAAAACCCTTAGTAAGAATAGTCCAAATCCAAATATCCAATTTCCTCGAAGAGTTAAAACTTCTTGATCCTCTCCAATCTGGATTCTACCCGGGCTTCTCCACTCAATCTGCTTTAGTTTAAATCACAAATGACATACATACCACGATGGAGGATAAAAAGCTAACTATTAGTACTCCTGGATTTCTCTAAAGCATTTGATTCGTTGGGCCATTCTATCCTCTTCGCTAAATTAAAATCTCTATCCTTCACCAATAGTTTCATTCTCATAGTTCTATTCTTTGATCCTAATATTTCCTTTCCAATCGGACTCTAGCAGTTAGTATACCGAATCAACCCTTATCTTTCTTCCATACTCTGTCCTCTGGAGTAGCCCAGGGTTCGAGCATTTCCCCTCTCCTATTCAACTCCTATATCTTCTTAATATTCAAAAACCTCAAGCACGATGTAAAATGATGTAACAATTGCCTGATTGTATTAATTATTAAAATTTGATAATGAAATAAAAAAGAAATTCACAACTGGACTCTGATACCTTTCAGGGTAGTCAGAGTTCTGAAGACCCTGGAGAAACTATCTCAACAACTGTAGAAACTGTATAGAACTGGGTCACTGCAAAGTGTTGCATCATCAATAAGTGCTAACCTATTCATCATTTGTTATGCATTCCCACCTACACCTAGCCTTCAGCTTTTTTCCTTTATAGTTATCATTTTTGATTCATAGTATTTCAAAACAAAAATTGATGTGTTTATATTTATGAATCATATATAGTATTATTACAAATAATAAATCTTGAATATCCTTCATGATTTATAGGTTTAGATTATAGTATATATTTTTTTTTTTTTTTTTAGGAGAAGCCGTGTATGTGGTTGGTTACAAATACTTTTGGGATAATTCTTTGCAACTGGTAAGTAAGGGGACTGTTTTGAAGCATGAAGAGCAAGGTCCTATTTATACATCTTGTATTACTCATAGTGGAAATAGTGGAGGAGGTATGTTTGAAAAAGATGGAAAGTTAATGGCTATTGTTTGTGGTATATTATTTGAAGAGAACATAAGTACATCCCACCATTGTCACAATGTTGGCATACCCATTAAAGTAATGAAAAAGCCAATTGATGCCTATATACAGACAGGAGGTTTGTGTTATAAAATACATATAATGTTTTCCTAATTTTAGCTCTTTTAAATATTTTAATGTTTCATTAGGAAAAACTCCTCGGCTGAAGTCAAACTCAACCTATTGAGTTAGTGCTACATCTCTAGAATAAGTCAGTTAAGACATATCACAGATCAACTTAATTGAATGATTATACTTGGTCAACTAAAGTTGAATGCGACTTGATTCATTATTTGTTCACACATTCTGATAGACATTAATTGAAATTTCAGTTTTGAAAAAGCGACAAAATATTCTTGGATGATTTCTAAGTACTTTTTGATGTATTAGATGATATATAAATCATTTTAGAACAACTTAAGAAAATGTTGACTAACTTGCTGATATAAGTTTGGGATTGCATAAAGTGGAGTGCAATTTCACCAAAATTAAAGTAAATGTAACTTTTCAGATTTTTAGCTACAAATGATAATTTTCAACTCATGCTTCATTGTATCAAATACAATTCCAAATTTTTTTATGGAAGCACACCTTCACACTACTTGTTGCTCATTTTGGAGCTTTTTCAACACAACCATAAACAGGGCCAGGTTAATTAGTCGATGATTGTCAAGGACACATAACTGAAGGACCTCCAGTGATATAAAAAAAAAAGCGTTTTGTATCCAAATCAGTATTGCTGTGGTATAATTTAACTATTTATTTATTACATTGCCACTACGGTCCTGTAAGAAGCCATGGTTCCTCCACTACAGCCAACCAATCTGCACTGTCCTGTGCTACCTCCCTCCATCTTTTAACACTCAGTCACTTTATCTTCCTCCACATCCTCCAACCATCTGATCTGAGATCCTCTACTTCTTTTGTCGTCTGGCTTCTCATGGAGCATCCTTTTTGGCGTTCTTTGGTCGGGCATTCTTTCTTCATGTCCTATACATCTTATTCGTGTTTTTTTTATCAATGTCACGATATCAGGTTCCCCAAACAGTTCACACAGCTATTCATTCCTTCTCCTAATTCCGTTCTCAGTGGCTCCATCCCATACTCTTCTCAACAATTTTTTCCCCAGGAATTGAACATACTGATTTTTCGGTTAAGGTCTATGACTTACACCCATTAATAACCTTAGCTTTAACACCCATACATAGATAGCCTTACTATGATTTTGTAAATAATAATTTTAATTCTTTTAGAGAGTGATCTAAATTTCAAATCTCTTTGCAATGAGAAATATCATCTCCTACTGCCCTCCTCTTCCCTCTTGCCAAACTCTTCCCTTGTTCACTTTTTTCTTAGTTGTAGGCCTGTGCTCTACTCTCCATTGTGCTACACCTTCTTATGGCTAGTTTTTGTTGATAATGGGAGCGGGGTAGCTCAGTGGTAGGGCACTAAGCTTCCAATGATGAAGGTTGCATGTTCAAATCCCGGCTCATGACAGAAAAATGATTTATTCTGTTTCATTGGCTGTGAGGCAACTGTGGATAGGTAGACCCTCCTGGAGCACACCTAGCATCTACAAACTGGGCACCCTTAATTAAATAATTAATTAAGGGGAAAAACCTGACAGTTGAGCGTGATCCTCGCCCGATCCCCTCCTTGCACAACCGTTGGCCTTGAAACAGTATTTTCCCTAAATAGTACTGAACCCAAGACCCTTCATAGTTTGTAGTGGTATATTCTTTTTATTCTATTTTTTTTTTTTTAATATTGCTAATGGACTTTTACCATTTGATGGTCAGCACTAACAGATCCAGGGTTTAATTTTGGAGGGACTTCAGCTTTTTTTTTTTAGGATTACTTCAGAAAAAAGAAAGAAACTAACTACCTAAATGAAATGGTGTTTAAGTGATTCTTGAAGTCCTATTAAATGAAATTAGATGAACAATAATACTTTTAGAGATATTTTTTTTCATAAAACATTGTTATATTTTACCATTTTTTAGGGGGGAGGGCTTCAGCCTAATTCTCTATTATAGTGTGGTTGATAGATTTTCTAATCATGAATTCAGACCCACATATTTCTCCATGGTGTCCACTGTTAATTAGCAGATAATTGTCTAATTCCATCATTTCAACATATATTCTGTATTGTTGCTACATCAATATGATATTTATCAAGTTCCTTCTCCAATCTCTTGCAAGATCCAGGTCACTTTAATCCTCTTACATTCCAGTGAGCTATATTCCAAGAAGTCCATGCCGGCAATCCATATATCCGAGGCTGTGTATTGTTTTCAGAACTGCAACGTTTTTCGCAATTGCCGGTTAATAGCTAATCCACCAAACCAAACTTCCTTCTTTATCTGGGCTTGGGACCGGCAACTGCTTATGAACAAGATAACAGGCAAAGTTATTTAACTTAAAGTAGGAAATTTAAGATTTGTGTTTTTTTATGTGAGTCACATTTTTTATTGGATAGGAAGCAATAACTAAACAAATATTTGATTTAAGTAATTAAACATTGCTCCATAGTAAACTAGATAAACTTTATTTTAAAATAAAGTAGAGTTTGACATTTTTAAAACCATTTAAAGATGACTATTGAACGGACAAACTCAGCGAAGTTCTGTTTTAAACAAAGTCATAAATTATTTGTGATTTTTTTTATAATCTTTCAATTGTACTACAGTTACCCTACTTTTAGAAAAATGTTGGTGTTTAATAAGCTTTAATACCATATTGATTAAGTTGAGGTTTATTAGGAAAAAATTTTAAATTCACCTCAAGTTGTGTAAAGAAATATTGTGATTTTCTATCCAGTCACTAATCTGTTAAATTATTGCGTATTTATAAGTAACAACCTTGATGTTTCTAGACCTGATATTTTCATTTCCATGAAAATAATTTAAGCAATCAATAGGTTTCTTTAGTTTAAAAAATTTGGTAAGGAATATTATATTTGTCACTGATAAATACCAGAATAATTCCTATGATAGAGGTCTAGGAGAAAAACAGTTTCATAACCATTTGACATGAAAAATATTAGAAAGATCATTATTTTTTAATTTCTTATTGCTATAAATAAAATGTGATTTTAGGCAAATACGTTTATTAAAATACATTCCATACCATGGAAAACCGAGAAATAAAAGCTTTGAAACAGTTAATTCTAGTAATTTTTGCTAAAAACTAGAGTACTGTAGGTGACTGGATAGAAAATCATATCATTTCTTTACACAACTTGGGGTGAATTTCAAAATATTTTCTAATAAACCTCAACTTAAATAATATGGGCTTAAAGCTAATTAAATGTTTAAGTTTTTCTGAAAGTGGGGTAACTATAGTACAGTTGAAAGGTGATTAATAGTCCTCTTTAAATTGTTTTAAAAATGACAAATCTACTTTCGTTTGAAGTAAATTTTGTGTAGTTTGTAGTATGGAGCAATGTTTATCTACTTCAATAAAATATTTTTTTAGTTATCACTTCCTATTCAACAAAAAAGCACAAATCTTAAATTTTTTACTTTTCTGCTAGAATTTGGGCAATCGTTTATTTGAACTTTTGTTGTAAATTTTGATGTCTACTATCAAATTTTTGAATATTTCTCTCTACTTAAGGGACAACCTGTTTATTCGTAATCAGTAGCACTATAGTAATTTTTCCAGTAAACTTACATGTGTACTATCAATTTTTAACTGTTGTTAAAACACCAATTAATATATACTCTTAGAAAAGCAGCTACTGTTAATAACAATATAAGCATGTAATGTAAGTAAAATATAATGGAAAATCTTAATATTTGACAAAAGTCTTGCATTTTCTCAATTACTCTTAAAAATTAGATAACAAGTGACAGGGTGATCATTCCATTCGACCCAAACTTACCAGTTACCTTAGCGACTGATATTAGGTAACATATGCTGGGTAACTGATAGTTGCTCTAGAGGAATCGTGGCTGTAATTGCTTCTGTCTTCAAAGAGAAAGAACAACCTATATTTTTCATGTCACAATCATTATCAAGTGCTGAACAGAATTATACTCAACTTGACAGAGAGGCATTAGCCATCGTTTTTGCTGTTGATAATTTTTTTATAACTTACATGGGCCATCCTTTTCTAATTACAGCACAGTCTAACATGGGACTCTAACGTTTACATGTATGTAAACAAATATCTGTGGGTGCCCCTTATCTTTAGTTAAGATCAGGAGACAGAACTTTATTGCATATACTACACAAAACCAGTGCATTGTCTTCTATTACTTGTTTAACATTAACTTTGAAGGGCACCACTGTCAAAGAATGGACCTATTGTTTGTGAGAACTGTATTGTATATATATACTTCAGTTAACTAGTGCATTTCTTCTGTTTTTCATGACTTTTGTGTATATTTCTCAATCACAAATGATTTTTCTATGCCGTAGACATATTGTAAAAGTTTAGTGCAGTATCAAAAATGTTAACACATCACATTACTGATATAAACAAGAAATACTTCCAAATTGAATTATTTTGTAGTATAAAAAAAACTTTAATTTGTAAAAAATATAGTTCACCATAAAATAAAATTAAAAATTCTTACTAAGTATGTGAAGAAATAAATAATTAGTTTATTAAATGTAAAAAAACAAAACATACTTGACCCTAATGCACATAAAGTACTTTTTGTGTTAAATTAAATGATTTGTAAATTTTATGTATACCTTGACATTTTTATTTTTAAGAAGTTTGTATTTATTAATTATATTTTATGTATGATTATATTATTGAGATGTGTAATGTTTATATGCCATTTCTTAATTTCAGATATATCTCATCTCGAGAGTTTATGTAAAACTAAGGATCTCTACTTATCAACATGGCATTTATTTACTAGAAGTAAATTATAAACGAAAAAAAGTTTAAGAACTGACTATTTTGAATTTATGCTTTGTATATATTGTTAACAATGTGCATTGATTAAAAAAGTACTTATTAATGCATAGTAGTTGAATAATCAGATTAACTGCTATCATTTATTATCATTGTCAGTGTTTCTTTAATATCTTGTAAGTAAATTTCTCATAATTACTTTTATTTTTTTAAAAAGTGTTATTTGATTGATCTGCTACCATTTAATGTAGTCTTGTAATTTATCAAAGCTTAAAGGTAGATTATCATATTACATTATTCTTATTTACTCTATTATATTTATTTATAATGTTACATATGTGTTTTATTGTGTATACAATTGTAAACTTTCTTAGCTTAGGCTTTTCTACTCGAAAAGACATACAATTCTTTTAAAACTAATCCTATATTTTATATATCATTAATGTTTTGTGATATATATGGTTGTGTAGTGAATTTTAATTTCTAACAATTCATTTTTATATTTTTTTACAAGAAAGAGGGTTAAATTCTATTTTTTTTACATTGAAGTTAGTTTTTATTAATTTTTAAAACAGAAATATCTTGTTAACAAATTTAAAATGATTTATTACTACCCATATTTCATTACTAAGTAAGATACTTTCAGTGGTTCTCATTTTTTTTTTTTTTTTTTTTTTTTTTTTTTTTATTTATATATATATATATATGTTAGCCATTGCCGTATTAACTTCTCTATGAGTATCATACCAATCATATGTATGTTTAATAATGCTTCTTTTAAACTATTGGTGTCAAATGATGTATTACTGTATGTTGTATTGTCTATTACTACTGGTTACTACTACTAATGGTCTATAACTATTGGTTCAATCTAATTGAAATATTTGAAAAATGTGCTTGGAAAAATTCATTGACTTATTGTTTTTATCCAAACACATCATTTTAATTCATTTGTGTCAAAATATTATACAATTCTGTATAAATCCCATTGCAGAAATATATATAATGATTAAGATTTATTTATGTCTCCTTGTAATAGTTAATGTCAACCTAAATGCTATAACAATGTATGTGGAAAATATATTTCAAAATAAACTTACTTTTTTCTGATAGTTCTTATTAAAAATATGCCTCACTGATGAAGTTATATTTTAATTTTAAAAAAGATAAAAAATTACCCTTCAGAAATTTAACGTTTCTTTTAATGCCAAACAAATTTCAAAATCATAGGAAATTAGGCTTGCCCAGTGGAGGAGAAGTGAGTTATTTCTAACTACTTAAGTACTAGTCCTTTCTGGGAGATGCCCAGTAAATGATTTATACCAGTGCCAGCCTTAGTACAACCCAGGCAGTTGGGAGAGGAGTGACTGAATGGCACAGCACCGCGTTGCCTGGCAATCTGATAGGAGATAATTAAATTAAATAATTACAAGTTCGCCTCCCGGTGCTGGGAAGCTTTTAACTTTGGCATTAATCACCCTCTGGCCCAGGAAGATCCTGTATAGCCTAAAAGGCGAGGAAGGGGAAGAAAAAAAATCACGCAATCGCCTCAGTGCACCGACCAGGAAGTGGGAGTGCCCGCCACTTGTTAGGAATAAAAAAAGTTAAAAAGTGTACGAGAATAATTAATTTCAGCCTGTTAATAAAGCAACTGCATTAGAAACATATTGAGTAAAATGAAATTCAAGTATTACTTAGTATAAAACAATTTCAGAAATAAATTAAATTTTTGGAGGAAAGATGACGTCATTTTCAGGGGGTGCTAAATGTCTTAAGCTGGCACAGATTTACACAATTCATTGACTTGATTTATTATTAAAAATCAAAATAACTTTAAACAAAAAAAAAATTTTTCAAGGTAGTTTTCAATATTTCTCAATCATCGATATTATCTCCTCAATTCTGAATCTTGACACTTAGTTTTTATTTTCTTATCTTTTTACTTTTATCAATTTTGTCAATGTGACAGCAATTATGCGGTGATTTGTCAGCTGGGAACACCAAGGGTGTACACAGCTTTCATATTAGGGGGGCAAGACTAAATAAAGGAAAATCTCAGGTAGATAAATGATTTCAAACTCTGACATACTATACTAAGTAGTTTATTGATATTACAATTCATAAAGTGATCAGTTGATGAATAAATTTTACATATGGAAAGAAATTTAGCACTAATAATGGGTATCTGTTACCAAGTCTTTTTTTTAAATTTAAAGTAATGTAACATCCACAGCTCTTATAATTCTCAATCTGGATATTTCACTAGATATCTGAAATGAAAATGGCCATATTTCATTCTTTAGGTGTTCATAAAATAAGCCATTGAATGGCTTTCTTAATTATAATTAAGAATTAAAGTAATTTTTAATTACTGTAACTGGTATATGTTTGTGTCATTTAAAATTGAATACTTACTTATTTAATTGATTCTGCCATTATCACTCAAATTAAGTTCTCGCTCTATCCAATTGACTAGATCTTGATCTAGTGCTTCTATCGTGAAGTTTTTAATATAGGTGTAGTACAATTTAATAAGCGTAGAGCTAACTTTTTTTCTAACTGTATTCTGAAAAATGTATTTAGATCAGGATTTTGGTCCATTGACTATAATTTAACACAAACAAATTCACTATTTTCATTATCTGTATGAAAACAATGGGTATTCAAGACCAATGAGATATCCCATGTGTGATTTTACTTTATATATTAGAAACATATGTTATATGAAGGTGAGTTAAACATGCAAAAACTATTAAATTAATGATTAATTTTATGTTCTCTAAATTCAGAAACTAATTCGAATTTAAAATGAATGTGTAAATAACACTATGTTTATTAGTGAAATAAAAATGAATAATTTTGCTCCCTCGCTACCAAAGGTAGGGAAGTATTGTATTTTTATTTCTTCTAGTGAGTTATATTAGTATCATATATTATTTGTTTTTTTAATTTCAATGTATAGCCCTTTATTTTATCTAATCAGTCTATGAACATTTTATGTTGCCTGTTTTACTTTTCTTATTTTGCAATAAAATTGAAAATATATTTATTTATCCTTGTATTGACATCTTCTTAAAATAATTTGCTTGTCAATTAAATCTAGGTCCGAATAGTGTAGCTATGAAAAATTGACGTAATTCTTCTAGACTTAATTCTAATAGTAAAAATAATAATAATTTCTTCTTTATGTTTTATTTTGGAGATTGTCATCTGCATATCTTCTCATTATTTATTTTCCTAGCAAGAACTCTTAATGATCTGTTTCCTCATGACAACAATTATCTGACATTAAAAGAATGTGGATTTGTAAATCTTTTAAATTCTTGGGTATATGTATATGGGTCATTTCAAAATTTCAGTTTCATTTGTGCATACATTTTTTCGAGAAAAAAAAAAAAAGAAGAGAAATACTTTTTACTTCTTGATAATATTTGTAGTTTTTTGGAAAATACTAATACATACATAACCATACATACGTCATTAATATGTGTATATATGTATATATATATATATATATATATATATATATATATATATATATATATATAAAGGGAGAGGAGTAGCTCAGTAGGTGAGCACTGACTTCCAGAGCTCAAGGTCCTAGGTTCGAATCTGGCTAATGATTAGTAATTTTCCTTTGGCCGTGGATCGACCCTGGGGTCGGGAGACCCTCCTGGAGCACACCCAACCTCTGTGAAGTGGGTACCCTTAATTTAAAAAATAATTAGGGGGTCAAACCTGGCGGTTGAACGTGAGAATCAACGCCTTTGAGACTTGTTAGCGTTAATGTTGATGGGCTTGTCTGGAGATATCTGAATTAATATTTTTTTCTTCATTTTTATATCACGATCAGCTTTTCTCAATTATCTTTTTTCAAGAGTAGTAGTTATAGAATTCTCTCAATAAATATTTGAAGATGTACAGCTATGTTAAAACATTGATGGATTTTGTCAGTACTATTTAGTGAAAATACAGCATATCAATTTTTTTTCTTTGTCATATAATTAAATTTGTTACTGAATAATGAGTATGCTTTCAAAATGATAGATTAAGAGAAAAAATTTTGAACTGCTTTCAGTTGTGATTTGACCTTTTTATTGTACAGTAACAGTGCCGGCCTTAGACATTCGGCGCCCCTGGGTAATGACGTCACTTCTCCACCCATCAAAACATTAAAGTTATCTCTCAAGCAGTTTTATTCTACATGATATTTGAATTTTTCATTCAATATTTCTCTAATACAGTTGCTTTATTAATAGGCTAAAATTGATTTTTTTTTAAGTTGTTTTGTATTTTTTTTTAATTTATAACAAATGGCGAGTGACCCCAAAGATTGGCCTAAGGCCCTAAGGCCGGCACTGTGCATACCATAAATGTGACCGAAATTTCGAAATGACCCATTTATGATTGCGTATCCCAAATATAAAAAAGAGAGGATAATCTTACCTTAACATCTCTAATCCTTGTTTTCAGTACTTCCCAGAATTCATTATTTGAAGAGACCAAATCGAAGTTATCGATGGCTATTGATTCTAACGCCTTGATAATCTAAAAATTACAGCAAGTGTCACAACAAATAAACTAAAAGTATTTCTAGCCGTCATATATATTAGAACAATCTAATCTAAGGACATTTAGTCATAATTATTGGTTTATGTTCAATTTTATTTGTGATTTCAGTTAACATTTTGTTAAGAAATCATCCATTTTTTTCCCGGCAAAGATGCACCTCAGCCTCATTGATATCTATTATTTGTCTATACAATTCGATAACCTTAGTTCTTAACCCCAACGAATATTTGTTCATAGCCCCATCCATTGTTGTTCATAACCCCAACGATAACGAAAATTCTTAACCTCATCAAAATGTGCCCCCCCCAAAAATTCAAATGCCCGTCAAAATATGCCTCCTTAAACATTTTTATGACGCAACATGCGCAATGAAATCCCCTGCTAGGTACCCTGGTTGGAAACATGGATAACCCATCACTTATTGACGAGATTCAATAGGAAGAGCGAATGAAAATTCGGAAAAAAATCACACTATTTTTCCTTTGAGCCTGTCTCTAAACTGTCTGGAAATAGTTTGAACCGGGAAAAACCGATTACCCATCAAAGAGATAAAAGAGGAAGAGCTAGTGAAAATTTAAAAATTTGTTTACGCTCTTACCTTTTAAACGACCATTGAACAGTCGGGAAACTGCTTAATTTCAAATAAAAAGTTATTGTTTCATCATATTTATCTATTTCTAATATCAGTTTAACACTTAGTCAATGTAATATAAATGTTAAATAAGTCACTCTAGAAAACAAATCACGCTAATGATTAGACAGTAAGTTCCTTTACTTTATTTATTTATTTATATATACATTACACCATGTCATAATGATAAATTACATGTTTGTGGTTGCAGTAACCTTATACATGACATACTAGTGGTATGAATGCTGTTTAGAAAATTGAAATCCGTTTTTTTACAGTAGGAAAAACCTCATAAAAAACCTACATAAGATATAAATGAAAAACTAGATTATAATCTTTAAAATTACAAGAGAAACAAAATATAATTTATTTACATAAGAAAACTATATATATTATTATATATAAGTTAAGGTACGGAGCGGGACAGTATTAGCTTTAATACCAAAAGCATTTATGTAAACAACTCAGAATGTATATATAGAGGATTATAAGGAGCAATAAAGCAGTCTTGATTCCGACTTCATGCGTGTTATTTGTTGAACCTTTACTCTTTTTTTTAAGTGTTTTAAGTCCGCTACGTTTAACTGGTGCCGAAACCCGGGACGGTGAGAGTGCAGAGGTACGTTTTTTTTTAAACCAGAGGAGAACCGTTACGAGGATGCCTGAATTTGACTTAAGGCAGCCGGCTCCCATGAATGTGCCAGAGATCCCTCCGTTACCGCAGGGAACCTTTGCCGCGGCGCATGCGAATGCGATAGAATGGATGAAAATCCGGGTAGCCACTTCACAGGACCTTAGGGAGGCTATATCCGATCTCGAGCGCTTCACTGGAGAAATAGGTGAGCTAAATCATTTTTTAAAGGGTGGAGATCGACTCGTGACAAGAATAAACGCAAAGATCGATGAGA